ATATCTGCAAAAGTTGAAGGAGATGTTTCAGTCAATACCATTTTCTATATTTAGAACTGAAAAGTGACATCAACAGCCCTCAGCAACTTACTTATTGTCATATTTTTGATCTCCAAACAAGGCTGTGTAACATATGCACTGAACTTTCAGCCCTGGGAACAGAATCCCAAACATTCACTATATACATATGTCTATAATTACTTCTGGCCACAATAAAACCTACAAATAAAATGAAAAATAAGAATATAAAAGGTTTCTCCATCTTGTAATTTTGTCTTTTGTTATGTACACACATACACCTTAATAACAAATTTACAAAGCAGGATGCAAAATTGCATATAGACTGTGATTACAACTATGTAAAAATGCATAGGAAAATGAATGGATGGCCAGGAACCAAATAAAATTGTAGTCATGCTTATGTTCGGGTTATAGAACCATGGCTGTTTTGCCTGCCTTTGCCTTGATTTTCCAAATGAAATGCAATGTAGTCAAACTACTGTAATGCTGATGCCTAATGCTCCTTTGTCTTTTTGGCTGGGCTTTCTCAAAAGAATTTACTGAAAAAATAAGTTAACGATGAACATGCAGTTTATTGACAATTTGGTAATGGAGAAGAGATATTTAACATTATTTTCTGTGGGACAGAAGAGATGTCCCACATCAGAGAATTTGAAAGCCCCTTTGAGAGCCTTTTCCCCAGAATCCCTTCTGTGCTGTCGTGCCATGAAAACCATTCTTTCTTCTGTCCTTTAAGCACCACATCACCACAGGTCTAGGTCTTACTCCAGTCTTTGACCTCCAGAATTCCACCTCTCCCTTTGGGTTTCTCTCTCCTGAAATGTTCAAGAAGATTTAACTGTGCCTTAGTTCCTGCCTCTAAACTTGCTCACCGGCCGGGCGCACTGACTCACTCCTGTAATCCCAGCACTTTGGGAGGCCGAGGCAGGTTGATCATTTGAGGTCAGGAGTTCGAGACCAGCCCGACCAACATGGTGAAACCCCATCTCTACTAACAATACAAAAAAAAAAAAAATTAACAGGGCATGGTGGCACATGCCTGTAGTCCCAGCTACTTGGGAGGCTGAAGCAGGAGAATTGCTTAAGCCCAGGAGGTAGAGGTTGCAGTGAGCCAAGATCACACCCCTGCACTCCAGTCTGGGCAACAGAGCGAGACTCTGTCTCAAAAAATAAAATAAAATAAAAATTTAAAAATTTAAACTTGCTTACCAAACCAATCTTATAAGGCATTCAGAAAACAAAAGGATTCTGCAATTTTCAGGAACCACTCTCCTTTAAAACTGATTTTAAATAACCAAGCTATACAACTTTGAAAACTAAAAGTAAATAATAATGTTTACAAACACGCTATGTTTGTATGAGTATAAAATGGCCTAATATGTCACGAATACACTGCACAATATCTATCAAAATGTAAAATGTTTATACCCTTTGACCCTGAAATTCCACTGCTAGAAGTTCATCTCATAGAAGTAGTAAGTTCACTGAAGAAAAATGTTCATAGATATTTACTGCAACTGTGTATGTAATAGTAAAAAATGAGAAAAATCCTAAGTGTTCACCAGTATGCCATAAATTTAAACAAATACCTTATATCCAGGTGAAAAACTATTACACAGCCATTTTTTTTTTTAAACGGAGTCTCACTCTGTCACCCAGACTAGAGTGCAGTGGCATCATCTCGGCTCATTGCAACCTCCCCCTCCCAGGTCCAAGCAATTCTCCTGCCTCTGCCTCCCCAGTAGCTGGGATTACAGGCTTGCACCACCACGCCCGGCTAATTTTGTATTTTTAGTAGAGATGGGGTTTCTGCATGTCAGTCAGGCTGGTCTCAAACTCCTGACCTCATGATCCTCCCACCTCAGCCCCCCAAAGTGCTGGGATTACAGGCATGAACCACCATACCCAGCCTCCACAGTTATTTTAAAAGATGACAGAAATCATGTAGACTAATATAGAAAGCTGGCATACACACACACACACAGAGAGAGAGTCAAGATTAACAGTCTTAAAGTATTTTTAATTTTTAATTAATTTATTTATTTATTTAGAAACAGGGTCTCATTGTGTTACCCAGGCTGGGGTGCATTGGTGGGATCACGGCTCACTGAAGCCTTGATCTCCTAGGCTCAAGAAATCCTCCTGTCACAGCCTTCCAAGTAGCTGGGGCTACAAGTACATGCCACCATGCCCAGAAAATTTAAAAAATGTTTTTCGTAGAGACAGGGACTTGCTATTTGCCCAGGCTGGTCTTGAACTCCTGGCCTCAAGCAATCCTCCCACCTCGACCTCCCAAAACACTGGGATTACACCTGTGAGACACTGGTGAATCTTCAAGCATTTTTTAGAGGGTGAGGTGCAAACTATCTACTCAATCAAAGACACTAGAGAAAAAGATGGTCTATGGAGGAATACAGCTGGCCCAAAAGCACAAGTCAGTAAGGAAGTCACTTGGTGCTGAACGATATACAGACTGAAGAGAAGAGCAAGGCTTGAGGGGTCTCCTAGCCTTTTTGGCCCAAGCGATGTGACCATGTAATCTCCCTTGGGGACAATAAATAGCATTGGTGGTACAAATGGCTGATGTGTAGTCACAAAGGTGAGGAAATCCCACACCTGCAGACTGCACGGGACTCATAGAGAGGCACCGTGGCCAGCATGGAAGCAGATTGAGGCCTGCCCCCAGAGAAAGGGTCTGATGAATTCTGCCGTGATGGGCACTTTCATTTCTTTGGCGGGCCTTGGACATTCCTGTTTTGTGCAGAGGCCAGATGGGCTTGATTTCTCTGGTGAGTTACTGTAAAACATGTGACCTATGTTCTTCGGTTTCTTTCATTCTATCCCTTTGAGATGGTGAAACATCAACCCTCTACTTTAACAAATAGCACCTGGACTTTCTCGTCTTGTTTCTTTCTTAAGCAATCACAAAACACTTTAGTGTAAAAGATTTATGACAACTTTTCTGGGGTTTTTTTCCATTTTATACGTCTGCTAAATTCCATTTTTTAAACATTATGGAGAAAGCCACTGGTGGAATCACCACGTCTAGAAATGTTAACTTCTCTGTAAAAAATAAGGCCACTCGAATCTTGTTAAACTGATATTGTATTCATTGTGCCTCTTAATGCCCACGTTCATTCCAAAGGACTTATAAAATGAAATCATCAAAAAGTTCCCAGCTGCACAAGCCTTTTGAAACTGTTCTGTCGTAACGAAGTCTGCGTTCCACATTACAAAAACACGCAAGGAGGCTTAAAGATAGTTTAACAAAAAGACTAGAAAGGGAGAATATCCAGGTGGCTTTTTAAGTGTGGAACATAATAAAACAGTGTTTGGAAACTATTATGCCAAGATGTAATAACTAGGAAACAAGAAAGTCCGTTTATAAGATGAAGTGCAACTTCAAGTCGTAAATAGAAGAAATGTTGAGAATGCAAGGGGGAAAATAATAACATGAGCACTTATGAAATGGGAAACAAACAGACTGAAAACCTTCAGATTTAGAATAGCGACATGACAATATATTTTGGACCCATCCTTCTGAAGTTTTATACTAAGACTCTGCATTATCTACTTACCAGTCAGGGTCCTCTCAAGAAAGAGAACACACTTGATTATTTAAAACAGAGGGGTCTGGTGCAGGAAACTGATCACCCAGGAGAAGGAAGAGCTGAAATGCTTAGCAGCAAACAGGGAGAGAACCTAGAGGTAAACACTCCCAGAAAACCACAACCTTCTCTGGGCCAGAGTGAGGAGGCAGAGAGGTAAGGTCCTTAGATAGGGGCTAGAAGAGACTCAACTATTACATCAGATGTTGCCAAAAACAGAGAGTGGGAGAAAAACCCTGGCTTCTTTCTCCAGCCTCCTCCCCCATCTGCCTCTAGTGTCTACCTGGGCCATTCCCATCCTGGAAAATAGTCTGCAGTGTTATTTTCTTGTGCAAGGGGATGGGTGAGGAATGGATCCAAAGGCAATCAGGCCCAGGACCAGCACAAGTATTGTCTGCATGAGCAGAGGCATGACTCTATGTTCTGGTGAGGACATCCCCCTGGGAGAGCTTGCATCATACCAGGATGACCAAAGGACTCCCTCCTGATGCACAAGGCCTTTGCTCAAAGTAAGTAGATTCAGCCCGACTTCTCCTTGTGATCTTGACAGCATTGGTCTGCTGCATTGCTTAAAGTAATGTTTCATTTTGTCCATACACATTTTTCAAAGGGACCATTAGGCTGATAGTCTGGGTGTCCTGCTATAATTCATCCACTGGTCTTTGGGCAGAGCAAACTTTATAACAACATCAGAGACAGGTTAAGTGGAAGTCCAGCTGGGCAGTTGTCCATGGTACTAACCTATGAAGGGCACTGAGAGACCGTGGTGCATTAAAACCTCTGGAAATGTTTCTAGCTGGCAACAAACCAACAAACTTGCATTTCTTAAAATTCTTCTAAAGGAGATATGCACTTTATCTGGTTGGACTTTTCAATCCACTTTTGGACACTTTCTCCCCACCATGCCCCAAGCCAAAAAACTGCTCTTTGTAACTGTTTGGAAACAAACAGAACACCAAATCCAAACAGTGAAGGAAATATGTTGGCTCATGTAATTTAAAAAGCAAGCATCTGGGTTAACTTCAGGCTGGTCTTAATCCACAGCCCAATGATGTCATCAAAGTTCCTGCCTTCTTTATCGTTGGTTTCGTGGTTGTAGGGTGGCTCCCAACAGCAAGCCCAGGAGGAGAGAGAGAATGTCTCTTTCCTCAACACTATACCTTGAAGACCACCAATATTTATTGGCCAGACTTGGATTTCCTTTGGAAATAACACTTCTTCAGAAATTTAGCAATTTCCTCCCTCTGCCATTCATATGGTCACTAATGCGTAACTTAAGGATTTTGAAATGAATGTGGGGCATGGAGGCACGGGTGTCCGGCCAAAGTTATTTGCTATTACAGATAATTCCCACCTTTCTGCTTTCTCTAGGACCAACCTTAGTTTGTGAAGGGGAATTAAGCTTTTCCAACCTTGAAAGCCTTCAGATTACGGGATCCCCAGATGCTATGGATGGCCAGCTCCATAGGAAGGTACCTCTTAGTGAAGCCAGAAAGTAGAAGCCTCTTACCCAAAGTGGTAGAACTACCTGTTGGTCTATTTAAGTTCAAAGGGAAGCATAAATGGGTAAACATTTTATTTTAACTCATCTCCTATTCACTCATATTTTGGTATGGGACCAAGGCCTCTTCTTTGAGCATGGGTCTTTTTCACATAAACCTTAGCCACAATGCATCAGAGTATCTAAGGTTTCTAGTTTCAGTTTCTTTTTTTTAATGTATAGTGAGAATGTAAAGACCCTTGTGAAATACATGAGTAGAATCTTTTTACATTTTCATAATTTCTCTCCAATTTTTATAATTTGAGAACAATTTTTAAGCAATTGACCTTTATCAAGTCTTTCCAGAGCATTTAATTTAGTGCTCATAGGAAGAAACCTCCTGTTTTCATAATCATAGTTCCTTGGTTTCTGTAATATTGACTTAAATTATATAATCACAATAAACATAATGACCATAAATAAGTTTGGAAACAAATGAAATAGCTAGTCATAAAACTCAGTTTGTGGGAACAGATGTGCTTGTAGGTTAAAGGTGGTACCCATAGCCAAGAACATCTGAGGACCATGGGATGTAGTCAGGATGTTTTAGAGAAATGTGGAGCATATTAGGTGACTAGCAAGCCCGTTCAATAGAGACTCGTTAAGAAAGTAACTATTGGATTAGGTTCCTTTCTACTTTCAGAAGAGGAACTTGCAGTCTAAACTTATATTGCTTGTGTAAGACCTAACTCAAAGCCAAAATTTGTATTCAAAATCTCCAAAATCCGACTTTTTTTTTTCTCTTCCAGATGTCTTAATGCTATAGTCCTGGTAGAAATGTGGTCAGCATTCCAACGTATGATAGAAAAGATTTTAAGCAGCTCTTTTGTTGCAACATACAGAGGTCACCAACTTTCCTGCTTGGAGTAGGTAAAATCATTCTCATTACCTTCCAGCCTACCTTACTAGTTCAGATAAGTATACGTTTTAGGATCTATTATTTGTAACATCCCATTTTCTAATAGCAAATTCCCTATGATTGTGCTACTTTTGATTGCAAGTAATATAAAAGATCTACTCAAACTGACTTAATCAATAAAATGTATTAGTTCATGTAAAAACTCCAGAGGAGAGCAGGTTTCAAGGCTCAGAGATCCAGTGTTTGCTTGTGTAGATTATGTCCTGCACGGAGGTGCCTGGGTAAGAGGTCAAGTGGGAGCTGAATCTAAGCTTGGGGCTGCATCCAACCCAGAAAACAGGGTACCATTTTAATTACATCGAGGAGCCTCTAATTAATCACAAAGCCATGTTCCTGCAAGTTACTTTGCTCAGTTAATCCATCTGAAAGTGACTTATGCTAACGGTGGGACCCTTGAGCTCAGCAATGTCAGCCAAGAATCAGTTTATTTTCACCTATCGGTTCTGCTTTTCCTTGTCAGCTACATCCACAGGGAACTACATTCATAGATAGGCTCCACTCATGTTCGCCAGAGGGATGGCAGCATCAACCAAGTCTTCCTTTTTCTTGTTCAGTAGGAGGCTGAGCTCCCCAATCACTGAATAGGCTAACCTCACATTAAATCAACCTGAGTCACATGCCCATTGCTAAACTAATCCATGGCAGAGGGACTAGAAATATGCTGATTAACTAAAGTCGAATTTACATCTGCCATGTTGCTACTTGTTTTCTTTCATTGTCCTTCTTTGTTTCTCTGTTCTTCAGTGCTGCCTTCTTTTGTGTAAAATAAATATTTTCTAGCCATTTTAATTTCCTTGTTGCTTCTTAGAGTATATTTGTCTACTTATTTTCCTCTTGGATTGCCTTAGGGTTTGCAATTAACATTTAATTTAAAATGATCTAGCTCAGATTAATACCAATTTAATTTCAATAATATCTTAAAAGCTTGTTCTAATATACTTCTGTGACCTTCCTCTTTGTGCCATTATTATTATATGAATTACATTTTTATACACGATAAACCCATCAGCACAGTTTTACTATTGCATTGTGTGTTTTTCTTTCTTTTCTTATTTTTTTTTTTTTTTAGTTTTGAGATAAGCATAGATGCCCATGCAGTTGTAAGAAATAATAATAGAGGGCTCATGTACCTGTTACCCAGCTTTTCCCAGCTGTTCCCAGCTTTTCTCATGTACCTGTTACCCAGCTTTTCCCAGCTATTCCTGGCTTTTCTCATGTGCCTGTTACCCAACCTTTTCCCACTACCCACCTTCAAAACTGTAGTATAATATCACACTCAGGATATTGACATTGATAGTGTCAAGATACAGAATACTCCATCTCCACGAAGATCTTTCTTATTGTCCATGTGTAGCCACACGCACTTCCCTCCAATTTCTATCTTCCCCTTAACTTCTGGCAACCACTAATTTGTCCTCTGTTTATACAATGTTGTTATTTCAATAATTTCATATAAATAAATTGTTCTGTTTTGAAACCATTTAGAATTGGCTTGTTTCACTCAGCAGAAGTCTCTGGAGATTCATCCAAACTGTTGAGTGTGTTGAGAGATTATTACCTTTTAATGATGCAGAGTCATATCCAATGGTATAGATGTACTTCAGTTTGTTTAACTGTGTACCCACTTAAGGACATTAGAGTTGCCTCTAGCTTTTGGCTATTACAAGGAAAACTTCTATAAACCATCATATATAGGTTTTTCTGTGGACATAACTCTATTTTTTTTTGAGATAAATGGCCAAGAATGCAGTTCCTCTGTAGTATGGATCTTGCATGTTTACTCTGAAAACTGCCAAACTGTTTTCCAGAATAATTTTGCCATTTTACAATTCCATCAACAATGTATGGAAACTCATTTTCTCTGCATCCATACCAGTGTTTTTTGTTTGGGCTGCTATAACAAAAATAACCGTGGGCCCTCTCTCTGACTTGCAGACAGCTATCTTCTCACTGTGTCCTCACATGGTGGAGCAAGAACAATCTCGTTCTCTTCCTCTTCTTATAAAGCCACTAATCTCATTATGAGGGTCCCACCTTCGTGATTCATCTAACTCTAATTACCTCCCAAAGGCCTGTCTCCAAAGATCTTCACATTAGGGGTCAGGTCTTCAACATCTGGTTTTAGGGGGACACAATTCATGAAGCCCATAGCTTTCTGCACCTGGCCTCTCAAACGTCATGCTCCTCTTACAAGCAAAATTCCATCCCAGCATCTCCAAAGATCTTAACTAATTCCACCATCAACTCCAAAAGTACAAAATCTACCAAAATATCTAAATCAGATATGGGTAACACTCAAGGTACAAATCATCCTGAGGCAAAATTTCTCCCCAGTGGTGAACCTGTGTGAAATCAGACAAGTAGGTGCTTCCAAACATAATGGTAGGACAGCTGTAAAATAAACATTTCCCTTCCAAAGGAGAAAGAAAGAGGTGGTGAGTCCCAAGCAAGTCCCACACCTAGCAAAGCAAACTCTGCCTTAAGGTGTAAGACTAATCCTCTTTGCCTTTTTGTCACTTTCCGGACCTACCGAGTTGGTGGTCCCACCTCCTTGGCTCTGCTAGGTGGAGGTCACACCACCAAGGCTTCAGGTGTTCTGCCCCCAAGGTTCTACAGGGTAGTGCTTAAAACAACTGATTTTGTCACCCAAAGCTCCTAGTATACAAAAGGGTTCACTCTTGTTGCTGTACATTCTTTGGGTATTGACAAAAGTGTAAAGCATCTGCAATAATAGTATCACATGTAATTCTTTCACTACCCTAAAAGTCTTCTGTGCTCCACCTACTCTTCCCTCTCTACCACCAATAATGGATCTTGTCACTGTCTCCGCACATTTGCCTTTTCTAGAATGTTATGCAGTTGAGATTATACAGTATGTAGTCTTCTCAGACTGACTTCTTTTGCTTAATAGTGTGCATTTAAGGTTCTTCCATGCTATAGTCTGAATGCTTATGTGCCCTCCCAATTTTCATGTTGAAATCCAACCCCCACAGTGATTGTATTAGGAGGTAGGGATTTAGGGAGGTGATTAGGCCATAATGGCTTCAATCTTTATGAATCGAATTAGTACCCTTAAAAAAGAGATTTCAAAGAATTCGTTCATGAATTCTTCCAGGTGAAGTTACAGAAAAAGATGGTTGTCTAGAAAGTAGGCCTTCACCAGATACCAAACCTGCCAGTGCTTTGATCTTGGACTTTCCAGCCTCTAGAATCACGAGAAATAAATTTCTGTTATTTATAAGTTACCCAGTTTATGGGTTTTTGTTTGTTTGTTTGTTTTTGAGACAGAGTCTTGCTCTATCACAGGCTAGAGTGATCTTAGCTCACTGCAACCTCTGGCACCCAGGTTCAAGCAATTCTCCTGCCTCGGCCTCCTGAGTAGCTGGGACTACAGGTGCACGCCACCATGCCCAGCTAATTTTTGTATTTTTAGTAGAGATGGGGTTTCAGCATGTTAGCCAGGATGGTCTCGATCTCTTGACCTCATGATCCGTCTGCCTTGACTTCCCAAAGTGCTGGGACTATAGGCGTGAGCCACCACGCCCAGCCTATGGTGTTTTTTTATAGCAGCCCAAATAGACTAAGACACTCCGTGTCTTTTCATGGCTTGATCATTCATTCTTTCTCAGTGCTAAAGAATATCCCGTTGTCTACATGTACCATAGTTTATTAATTCATTACTGAAGGATATCTTGGTTGCTTCCAAGTTTTGGCAATAATGAGTAAAGCTGCTATACGCAATCAGCCTTTCACATGAAGTGCGATGCTGGCTATAGTTTTCTGTACATATACTTTATCATACGAAGAAAGTTCCCCTCTCTTCCCATTTTTCTGAGAGTTTTTTAAAAATTATAAATTTGTGTGAGATTTTATCAAATACTCTTTCTGCATCAATAGATATGATCATGTAATTTTTCTGCTTCAGCCTGTTAATGTGGTGGACACATTGATTGATATTTTTAATATTAAACCAATCTTGCTTCTTGGAAATAAACCTCACTTGCTCATGTGTATATTCTTTTTGTATGTTACTGAATTCTATCTGCTAATATTTTGTTAAAATAGCTGTGTCTATATTTATAAGAAATATTGGTCCATAATATTCTTTTTAAAAAAAACTATCTTTCGTTTTGGTGTCAGGAGAATAACAGCTTAACAAAATAAATTGACAAGTGTTCCCTCCCTTCTGTTTTTTGGAAGACAATGTAGAATTCATTTTAATGTTTTAAAGTATTCTCTAGTGAAATGATCTGGATATGGAAATTTCTTTCCTGGGAGTTTTTAAATTTGACTTCAGTTTCCTTAATAGTTATAAGGCCACTCTAATTATCCATTTTATAATTCATAAGAGTTATGCTCATTTTTATTTTTCAAAGACTTAGTCCACTTCATCTAAGTTGTCAAATGTATATGTTTAGAGTTATTTGGTATATTCCCTCATTATCTTGTAAAATCTGCATGGTTTGTACCGATAGCCCACCATTTCCTTCTGTACATTGGTCTTCAGTCTTTTTATCTTTGTCAATCTTGTTAGAGGTTTGTCAATTTTGTTGATTTTTTTAAAGAATGAGCTCTGTGTTTCATTGATTTTTCTTTCTTTTTTCTGTTTTTAATTTCATTGATTTCTGCTCTTAATTTTATTAGTTCCTTCCTTGTGCTTGATTTGGGATTTTTTTGGTCGTCTTTTTCTAGTTCTTAAAGTGAGAATTTAGATTATTAATTTCAAACCTTTCCCTTTTTTCTACTACATGCATTAAGTGCTATATATTTCCCTCTCTGTACTGTCTTTAGTTGCATTCCACACATTTTGTTATGCTGTATTTTCATCCAGTTTAATATACTTTTTAAGAAATTGAAGAAGACACCAAAAATTGAAAGATATTACATGTCCAGGGATTGGAAGAATCAATATTGTTAAAATGTCCTTACTACCCAAAGCAATCTACACATT